TATTTTGGATGGAAAGATCATAGCCTGCTTACTATTTTTAACAATTTTTAACAAAAAATCATTCATTGTTTTGTCAGATATCGATAATGTCTCCCCGTTGCTGGTTAGCCTGTATATAAATATACAGCTCTCTATTTACATAATTATAATTCTTAGGTAGAGGTTTAGATTTCCAGACATAAATCTTGTAAATATAAAGCTGCTAAATACATTGATTACATTTTCATTAGCCAATGTAAAAATGTATTTTATTGCACCTAGGATTTAACTAAACACTACATAAAAATAAAATGCCACTTTCATCGTGTAATTAAATAATAAACTACAAACGGTCCTGTAAGGGAAGCGTCATATAGCCTTGAAACACCGGATTGTAACTATTGTAAGTGTTATTGCCAGGTCAATATTGAATTTGTAGGTGAATCGCTTGTTGAACATTAATACCGTATTTTTATATATTTTTGGAAATGTAATTACACATAAATATTATTAGTTGATTATTTAAATGTTTATAAGTTATTTTGTGGCGATATTTCGTAGATATAAACTGTTTAAATCATATAATTTAAAAATAAATTAATTTAAAATTCTTTTCTGTTAGGTATGTTTAATATACTTGGCAACACTACAGGAACAAGTCATGCCAAAAAATACCTACCCAAGAAGCGAAACTGAATGAGTTTTCGTATGTACTAAAGCATGGGAACTTAATACACTGGGAAGCGTATGAAAATTAATCCATTTTTGTCGTTTGGTTCATAAGAATTGAACACATTAAAGTAACAATGGCATACAGAAAATTCTTACTATGTTCTTTTTGAAAAATAGATTATTTTAATAACAAAATAAATATTATTATTGTACTTACAAATAATGACAGTCATTACACAATAGCGTAAGCAAATAACCTGGGAATTTTGAGAACAATTGAAGACACAAGTGGATACATGTATCATGTCACATTTTTTCAAAAAATTATTTTCATGGCCTATTATACTTAAAATATACTATATTTTTTGTTTGTGGTAGGTAGTTCTAATTTCCAATTTTGATAAATAACGGCTATACATCAGATAGTAAGGTATCATGAGCCATATATCGTAATGCAATTGTAAAACTTTAAATTTGATTTTCCCGAAATAATCTTTTTGTGACATGACACCTTTATGGTGCAAGGACCATCCACTATCAATTCCAGGAAGACAGAAATGGTCGTTGTCATAAGGAATAGGAAGAAAATTTAATTAAAACCTCTAGAGCTCTTAAACATAAAACAAAACTTTGCAACAGAAGTGAAATACCTAGGTAGCTCCTTTGACAACAAGTTAAAATGGAACTCACACTTAGAAAATAGAGTCAAAAGATCATACATTGTTTATGAAAAATGCCGCCGAACCGTGGGGAGCACCTGCGGTTTCTCCCACAGAGTCGTCACGTGGACTTACATGTCCCATCATAAGACCTATGCCGATATACGGTGCAGTTGTCTGGGTACCGAAAATCCAAAAATTGACAGCTATCCGCAAACTAGAACAAATTCAAATAACAGCATGTCTCAACATAACAAGAGCCATGAAAACCACACCAACCAGAGCCATGGAAGTCGTTCTTTGTCTCACTCCCTTTGATATGTACATCGAGGAGGTAGCTTTGATGACAATGACACGCCTCTGCATGGTTGGGACAGAAACTGATGTTTAGAATAGAAGAGCCGGAAATGGCAGGTATGATTCATATCTACACCGTCAGTTCTAAAACAAAACAAGGCTCAGGATGTGGAATATACTCATCCAATTCATTGAACCTCAACATAAAATGGGCTGTGAGCAGTGTAGCTCAAACCAAGCTCACGGAGATTGTCATGACAGCAAAAGAAATCACCAGAAACAATATCACTGGTAGGAACAAGCTCGTCTATACAGATAGCAGATAAGCACTACTTACCCGGAACAGACTACGAATTTACTCAGGGTTAGTACTAGAATGTTACGAAGCTGTGGCAAGAGTATGCATCAACAATATGGTGCTGATTCACTATCCAAGAAGGCAGTTAACCAAATACTTTTTGGACCTGGCCCTTCTATTGAACTGACAACATAAGTAGTGACAGACCTAATTAAAGAACATTCTCTTGTGAAATTCAAGGAAAGATGGAAGGAAACCAGAAACTGCAGGGTTGCCAGGGAGCTTTTAAGTTACCCTGACAACACTACAGCAAACAAATACTTCATTATGACTAGACATTGGACTGGTCATTGCCAAGTACGGAAGCATCTCCATATAATAAGGCTGTCATAATCCGCACCCTGCAGGGGGTGCGAACAAGAAGATGAGACCATTGAGCATATCCTCTATGATTGCCTGACGCTCTTATTTATTAGAAGATTTGTTTTCGGCGAGTATTGGCTAACACCGTCCGATATAAGAGAAGAACCTCTTGGCCACGTTGTAACCTACGTTCAATCTGTAGACGGGTTCATGTGCTAGGAGGTGCCTATGATTTTAGGAGGATACACAATGGGCCTAGTAGGGCCTAAGTGCATGGGGTAACCCACCCTCCACACGTGACATATCCAGAAGTACTGTAGGTAGCTGCATGCATTTCGATTGCATCCTGATATAGCAGTGACTTGGTTCCTCGGAATGAGTTTGTCATATATTTTAATTATTGTTTGTTTACTGTTTTAATTCAAATGGTTTAAAAAACAAAAAAAAAAACATTTTGAATAAAAGACTAAGAAATTAAATGATGCATAATACGTAGTCGTAAATTATCATTAAAGGTAATACTGATTTAGAAATTTTAAAAATAAAACATTTACAGCCGGATGCAAAAATGTTTATTAAAATTTACGAAATTTACGCAATGTATTTTTCTTATGTAATAAAAATCTTAAAACTATCTAATTTCTAATTACTACTTAGTTAAATGCAACTACTTAACTATACTGTAGTTTTCACAAAAAGCTAATAATAATATACCAAACGTTGCTCTACATAAATTGACAGCTATATTTGACGTTAAACCACCTCTAAAACACTGAGAAAACTTGGCAGTTTTTTGTCCACGAATCGCCCATTTAGTTTCGCTTCTTGGGTAGGTATTCTTTGGTCATGCATATTGCGCATGCTCCTAGACACACTATTTTGTGCAGAGACGCGTTTTTATGCACAGTATATAGGTTTCAATTTCAGCTTAAATGTTATATTTATATTGGTCTTCTATATTATTTCTATGAGTTACACCGAATTTTCAAAGTTGACAAGTTATTCAAGAAATGGATTTAAACCGAGAACATTTTCCTGCCATAATTTTTGACAACTTTCGAAGACAATTATCTCAACAAGAATGCCTCGGTTTTCGGTAGTGATGCACCACATCAATCGACAATTTCTCGTTAGTATGGAGAATTTATACGAAGACGGGTTAATCTTAGTGACGAGCCAAGAACAGGCGCATCCAGGAAACCATTGATGCTGTGCGCAGGCTCATCAAAGAAGATCGACATGTGACATATTGCAAGATTGAAGCATCGTTAGGGATTTCAAAGACCTCAATCCAAAAGATTTTGCATGAAGAATTGGGAGTAAAAAAAATAGTCTCCCGTTGGATACCGCATCTGTTAACCGAAGAACAAAAAGAAGCTGGGGTAAATTGGTGTCAAAAAACTCTGGAGTGCTTCAACGCTGGAAACTCTAAAAACGTGTACTGCATCGCAAGTGGTGATGAATCATGGATTTACTCATATGAACCTGAAAATAAACGCCAATAGTCTGTTTGAGTTTTCCAAGGTGAAGACAAGCCGACAAAAGTGATCCGTTCTCAAAGTGTATCTAAAAAGATGGTCACAACATTTGTCTCCAAAGCAGGTCATGTTGCAACAATTCCTCTGCAAGAGCAAAGAACTGTTACTGCCGATTGGTATATAATGATTTGTTTGCCAGCAATCATCGCTAAGCTTCGGGAAACCAACCCCAAACAACGAATCATCCTCCATCAAGACAATGCAAGTGCGCACACAGCTCGCAAAACAATTGCCTTCTTAGAGCAACAATTTTTTTACCTTTCCGAAAATCAAGAACACACTACGTGGGCAACGGTTCCAGTCACCAGAAGATGCAGTTGAGGCATTCAAAACAGCCATTGGAGTTGTGACACTCCAGGAGTGGAATAACTGCTTTCAGAGCTGGTTCGAGCGCATGCATTAATCTTCATGGAGAAACAATAAAATGTTTAAACACTATCTGCTGTTTTATTCTAGGTCCATATGCAAAACTTAAAAGACAGCTCTCGTAGAATAGGCCGTGGACAGGGCCGACGTCAATGATAGCGGTTTTTTTTCTTCTGATCTCGCCTGACGGTATTTCATTATACATTTTGCTCTTCAAAATACAGTGCCTTATAGAATATAATTTACTTCTTTATTGCGTCTGGAAGTTCCATGGTATTCGTTGAGTACAACGTGACTACCTACTCTATTTTCGTTTTTTTTTTTTTTTAATAAAATATATGATATGGATTAAAATAAAACGATTATTCAATAGTTTCAAATTATTTTTTATTGGTAAGCCATATATTTTTACCGAAAATAAAACCAATTAATTACAATTTAACAATACAATTTTTCCACTCCATGACGGTCTGTAGTTATTTTTGCTTTCTTTTTTGATGGAATGCGAGACACGGCTTTTTTAAGTCAGTACCGATCGTCACCAGAGTGTCATTTTTTCTTTATAAAATAAACAAAAAATAAAATATATAATATAATAGGTATATAACGTCTTATAAATATTATTAATGTCTTCTTAAGAATTCGATATTTTGTATAATTTAAGGCACTTTTTAGTTTAGTATGTATATAACATAGATATTACATGTTTTTTGAAGATAAAATGAACACTTGGTTGAAACATAGGTTTAGATAAAAGCAAACAGATGTTTCAAAGCTTTGATTGTTCAGTCAGTCGCTTAAAGTACTGTATGATTTTTGATTGTTTGACTCCTTGCTTCTTCGTCGTGTTTATGTTCCACTTAGTATACAGCAGCTGAAAAATTACAAAACATTAACAATTTAGCCTACCCAGAGATTTCATTTTTCTCGTTTTATACCTTTCCTTAATTATATATATAAAGAAAAAAAGGATTTAAAATTTTTATTGAAGAATGGTTTAAAACGAGAATAATACTTAAATAATAAAATTAAAACTAGACAAAAAGGAATGTAAATTTCCTTAGTAATAAAAGAAAAAGTTAATGGGTAGATAAAGAGACTATAAGTACAGATAAACTACATTTTTGTATTGGTTGACGCTTAAACTTATGAATCTTCTTTAATATAGATCAACTACTTAAAATACCATAAAGGAGAATGATTTGACTAATTAAACGATTTTTAATAAATAGTACTTTCGAATTAAGGCAAAAAATATTAAATCTAGGAATGAATATCCTTTAATGAATAAATTACCTATATGATTTAATTCTAATAAATAAATTCTTAAAAATTCATGACCTAGGTCAAATCATTCTTCAAATAGGTAGGTAAAATAACTATGTTTAAAATTTTTATTAGATACCTAAACAGACTAATAGAAATTCAATTTTTTGTTACATTATACCGGGTGGTTTCAAAGTTGAGTCATTTATTTTAACAACTTGTAGAACTTGTTAAAAGAAGTTGATTACCAAAAATCACCTATGTAAAAGTGCACAATAAAATATTAAACATTTTATTGTACAAATGTTTAGATATTCCCGACATGTGTTGTGTTAAAAAATTGTTTGTGTTTACTATTGATATTGCTTACCGAGGCATAACTAACTTTTTTTTATTATTGTACCTACGGTTTTCAGTACGCGCTTAGTGGTTAGAACAGTGGTGTCAGTCGTTTAGTAGTGCATATTACTTTTATTTCGCCGATATTTTGTACGAAGAAAATTGTCTTATCATAATAATAAAATACGAGGAGTGCCAACAAAATTCACCCACGGCATGTCGTTTGTATACGGAAAGGAGAAAGGTTTCCTATAAGAAATCATCCGGTCCCACGGATGATTGTTAATTTGGCTATTAGACTTCGTGACATAGGCAGCATAAAAGAAAAACGATTTTCTAAAAACGGAATCCATTTTACTAATAATGGATTTTTATGATTTTTTAAAATAATAATTTATAATTATACCTAATCATACAACTTTTTTATACAGGTGATTTTTGGTATATCAACTTCTTTGACGAGTTCTAAAAGCTGTTAAAATAAATGACTCAACTTTGAAAACACCCTATAACAACAGATAAACTATTTGGAAAAAATAACTAATTCTAATCTAAACTACTACATATAAATATATAAAACAGCTACAAAACAAATATATTTTTTACCAAAAAATACGGCATCCATTTCAAAAAAAATCTGGGAAAAAATCAGGTAAAATTTATACATAGGTGCGTTTTTTTTTTGGAAGGTGGGTTCAATTTGTGAAAATTATATCAATAGAAAATATCCCACCATAAACTAGAAGAAAATGAATAATTTGCAATCATATAAAAAAACAAAGTATTAGAGAAAGAAAAAAACTAAATGAATGAAAAATGATTGTGATGTGATATGTCCTATTCAATTTGAATAGTTAAATGCATTCAGGGTATTAGATAAAACATCGATAATATGAAATTCAAAATCGGCATTTTTAATATTGAAAGTACCAAATTTGGTTCTCGAGTAATTTTTGGCTTCCATCTATAATAATTATTAAAAAAAATATCAGTCAATGCTTAAAACTATATATTAGTATCAGAGAACCAGTATTGCGTATATTCTTGGTCTATATAATGAGGTTGATTCGTGTTAATATGATAATTATTGGTAGGATATTAAATACAGGGCATCCAAGGCATCCAAGAAAAATACAAATTTATTAACACAGATCATATTTCCAAATTAATTTATAGATTTGATCTAGGTTCTAGCAGCAGTAAACCAATGTCTATCTTTATTTAACATTTCAAAAATACCTTTCTTTATACATATTAGTATAACCTAGAAACTTACAAATTGCTTGAAACACAACAATTTAGTTTTCAAAAGAATAAGAAAACTTCTGATACTATATTTTCTTATCTTCAATTTGCATATTATAATATTAATTTTAATGAAGTAGTATCGGTGATGTTTTGTGATTTTACTAAGACTTTTAATTATGTCAATCATACAGTTTTGTTGCTAAAACTTCGAGCTTATAAAATAAAAGAAGAGTAACTTAAGGTTCTGTGTTGGGTCCCATTTTATTAATTTATGAATGACTTAGTTCGACTAAACGTTGCAGGTACGTCCACTCTATTTGCTGATGAGACTGGGATTTTATGACACAACAATTGACATCTGATTGCTTTATAACACAATATCTTGTAATAACAAGAAAATCAAAGAATCGTACGATGCTAACTAGTTGTGTACTGATACAATAAAATTTCTGGTCATTAATTTAAGCAATAATTTGAAATTTAAGAACAATTTATAATTGCTAATCAAAAAAATTTCTCTGGATGTTTTGCAGTTAGTACTGTTGCAAAAGAATTAGGTTTTCAACCATCTAAAAGTGTGTATTACTCCCTAGTTAAATCTCATTTAAGATATGGAATGCATTTTGGGGAGATTGTAGCCCTGAGTTAATCAATGTCGCTTTTTGTCTGCAAAAGGTGTGCAATACGATTTTTATGTGGATTGAATATTCTTGAGTTATATAAGCCATTTTTTATTAGACTTGAAATTTTAACTTTGTCATTATTACTTCTTAAAACTCCTTATACTATACATAAAAACAAGCCAAGCTAATACTAAAGTAGTAACTTGCAGTTACCCAGTTTAGACCTAGTAAAAGGGTCCTTCATTTATAATGGTATTAAAATGTATATATTATATTGTCAAATAATATAAAATCAATAGAAGCAATTACAATATTTAAAAGACTGCTTAGGAATATTTCAGTTACTTAGGCTAACCACGTAAAAGATTGCTAGCCCTGGTTTTTATGAATCATTCCATATAAACTTTGTAAAAATATTTGAGCGCTTTACTCCTTAAGCCTGTGCATGAAAAAATATTTGGGCTCCGTGTCCTTTAAGTCTGTTCATGTAAAAATATTTTTCTGCAGCCGTCCCGAAGATAGAACTTTCGGTATGATTTATTAAATCGAAAGTGAAACTTTACACAAATCGTACCGAAAGTAGCTATTTTCGGAATGATTTTTTTTACTTTCGGGACGATTTTTTTACTTTCGGAATAATTTTCAATATCTATGTAGGCGGCCTTAGCAATGACATTTACGGAATGACATCACTTGTCAAAATAAATTTGTTGATAGTTCCACTGTATTTTCAATTTTCCGATCCAGAAATGGAAATCGACAACGAAAGTGACGAGGAAATGATTAGTCCACATGAAATCAGTGAAGCTGCTAAAGTCGCTACTTATGAATTGTTGCCAGTAAAGTCAAGAGAGAGGTATGAAATGGTCTATAATTTATTCCAAAAATGGCAAGATAAAAATTAATATCTCGAAAGCTAGTACAAGTACTGCAACGTCTAATACTAATTTCAACACAGCCATTTCTGTTAATATTCCTAATACTATTAATATAAGTAATTGTTATAATTGTACATTTAATGTTCATAAGTAATATTTATAGTATCTATCCCTATTATTTTTTAATATTTTATCTAATAAACGGCTACAGAAAAAATATTGTACGTAACGCTACCCAAAAGTGATTTTACGGGACTCGCAGGACTCATCCCGTAAAATATCACTTTCGGGACTTGTTACGTAAATAACTATTTGTCTTATTAATCCTTAAGCCTGCCAATGTAAAATTATTTGGTCTCTTTGCCCCTTAAGCCGACCCGGGTAAAAATATTTGGTTCCTTTACCTCTTTAGCTTACACATTAAAAATATTTGGGCACTCTACGCCATTTGCTTACCAAATAAAAATATTTGGACCTTTTGCATCTTAAGTCTGTCCATGTAAAAATATTTGGTCCTTTTAACTCTTACGCCTACCCATGTAATAATATTTGGCCTATTTATACCTATAAGCCTGCCCATGTAAAAATATTTGTTCTCTTTATCCCTTAATCCTTCCATATCAAAATATGTAATTCCTTTACCAGTTTGTGACGAAGTCACTAAATTTTGCTCTCAATTAATTTAAAAATGTATATTTCAATTAATTCCCGCCTGAGCACATGTAGAAGATCCCCCGTATTTTTGTTTTCCAGGAATTACCGTTTTTAAACAATTGCGAGTACCCTCGTAGGTTAAAATATTCCTATATTTGCCGAAATCCGAATGGGCATTTTGTAGAGTCGATTTCATACCAATTATCTACTTTTATTTGTCAAGGTACTAGAAGGACTTTTTTTTATTTTTAAATTGTAAACAGTCAGCTGTAGTGGTGGCATCCCCCACTCGGGCTAACCGGTCTTCCATCTTGCGCAGCGAAAAAGCATAAATTCGATCACATCTGGGAATTACTCTCTCTTGAATTCCGGCAGCCATAAACTCTTCTCTCTCCTGCAGTGTCGAGTGAAATTCTCTGTGAGTGACCGTAATATCGAAAGATTATTGAACAACCCCGTTTATTTTTCTAAAGGTAGGAAACCGCAAATTAATTTTTTAATTTACAATTAGTTTGGGACACCCGTCCGACGAGTGAAATAATTTTGATTCATGCCCAGCATTTTTCATTTCATCCCTTAGTGGGAAACCATTGGAAATTTTTTTTATAAGAAGCACCCAGTATTTTTCATGTAAGTTTCTCTTTTATTTTATTTATTCATTCAATTGTATTTGAATCATTCCGTTTCCCGTCCACAATTAGTTATTGAACGAAGCCAGACGACTTCTGTAGAATTAAATTCACACACGCTCTCGATCACAAATTTCAAAATATTATTTTCTACGATCGTCGCCTCCGCCGTCCAAGACACCGCATAAATACCCATGTTTCTCACTCGACGAAAATTTTCGCTTCCTATCGCTCGTGGTTAAGATACGAGGGGGTTCCGACAACTTTGTTTCATTGTATAGTAGGTTTTGCTTTTCTGAACGTAAATTGTAAGTGGGATAATGGTGATAATAGCAAACTTTATTTTTAATAAAATTTCCGTATACCGGGGGAGTCGTAACTACCCGTTTTCTTTCATTTTTATGACCTTCCCAGTTGGTAGCCGTTTGATAAATTTTTTTTTTAATTAATCCGTTTTAATTAATTACCGTTTTTTTGTTTTACTATTTTGACCAGAATATTTATTTTAATATCGTGATTTTGGAAAAACATACCTTCCATATATCGGGTGTACATAATTTCCAAATTTCCAATATAATAATTTATTTTCAATAAATTTTCCGGATGCAGGGATCCATTAAGATTTAATTAGTTTTCAGTTGTAGTAATTTAATTTTAATAAATTTTCCGTATACCGGGAGTTTCATAATTCCCAGACCCCTTAGCCTCCTGTGCTAATAAACCATAAACATTTCCCTACATTTAAATAATTTTCAATTACAGTAATTTATTTTTCATAAATTTTCCGGATATAGGGATCCGTCAATATCTAAATAGTTTTCAATTGCAGTAACCTATTTTTCATAAATTTTCCGGATATAGGGATCCGTCAATATTTAAGTAGTTTTCAATTGCAGTAATTTATTTTTCATAAATTTTCCGGATATGGGGATCCGTCAATATTTAAATAGTTTTCAATTGTCATAATTTATTTTTAATACATTTTCCGAATACAGGGAGCCGTTCATATTTAATTACTGTTGTATTTTTTTTGTAAATATATATTTAATTACCTATTCCTGTGTTTCTCTTATTGCTGGTTCTTAACCATTGTCTTCCAGGGTACCGTAGGGTACGAGGTGTGAAGGAGATAAGTGTTTTATTTTTACTTATTCTAGTATAGCGGCTACCTAGCAGTGACCGCCTGGAATTATTTTTACCTCCACTGAGTTCACCTTGAGTACACTCTGGTGTACCACAGGGTCGCAGAGCATACTGCGATACCAAAACTGGCGCCTGAGCAACCCCTATTCGGGAATCACCTTCATAGCGTCACACAGACTCGCTGATTCACTGTAGGTGAACCAGAAGCCTGTCACAAGTTACTATTGTCTATGTATAAATATTTGTGCAGTTTACCCCTTAATCCTGCCCATGTAAAAATAATAATTTAACTCTTTACCTTTTTGATCCTAATATCAAATTCAGATACGAGTCCAATTCTAGAGTTTCTTAAAGGTCGTGCAAAAATTATAATTACTTCATCATCCTGTATGTTATTCGCGAAATATCCACATTTACTTAATATCTTAACTATTAATTTCACTTAAAAGAAATTAACAAGTCGATCGGACATTTTGTTCTAGACTTATCGTGTTGGCGTATATTGTCACAGACGATACAATTTTTGCGGTGATGTTATATCCCTACTTTTACTGCACATTCAAACTATAGTAGGGTGTCCAAAATATGAACTGTGATTGGTGGATTAAATTTTTTTACAGTTCTCACTACCTAGAATGGATATAAAATATATTCGTTCAGTTGAACGCAATGACATACTTTTTCGTTTTGTAGTCTGTGCCGAGATAAGCTCATCCATGTGGGTGTATATAAACAATATTTTTGTAGCTTTCCGTTGCTGTTCAGTATTATTGATTGTTGATTGATGCTAAGTAATTTTAGTGATAAAATATTGAATTTAAAAATTTGGTGGATGTCCTTACAAGTTATGTAACAAATATTTAAATTTTGGTGGATGCTTTAAAAATGCATTCCTTCTTATAATAATTTTTATTCATATAACTGGAACATTTATTTAAAATGGAAAAACATGAAAACAACAGATCAAATTTTTTGAATTTTTCCAAAAGCCAGATTTATGTAATAAATAATAAATATTTCACATTAAGATATATACATAAAAATAAATTTAAAAATTTGGTGATACGCTGAAATGTCTTACGTATTCAGTGACAATTATTAATTGGACAAGTTTTTTAACCTTATAACATTAATATGATTTTAATACACGTTAATACTAATGTGTCGTAAATATTACGACCATGTGAAAATAATTTAATTTCACTTTCTAGTTGCGTTTATAAAATTATATAAAAATAAATATGCATAGAACTGTAAGGTTCTATGAAGATCCAATATAAGCAAGTAAATGAAACTCAAGCCATCGAAACCAAAAAATATTGGATGCAGGGGCGGCTCGTGACCAAAATTTTGGGGGTTCACAATAGCAGAATATAGATGTCGGTACAGATATTAATAAAAAACTGTCAGTGTTTTAGAAAGGTATATTATAAACTTTCTAAAACACTGAAAGTTTTTTCATACATCTGTACTGATACCTATATTCTGTCACTGTGAACCACCCCAAGAGCCGCCACTGATTGGATGGTTAAGTCCGAAGAAAGAATTTGTAATAAAAATAAGAATAAGTAAGAATTTTCGGAAATCAAAATATAGATTTAAAAAATTTGCACGATTTTCATTATAATATACACACTTTATTCTTTACTGGTCAATTTTAATGAAATATCTTGTATTAGGATGTCTATAGTATATATGATAAACCTAAATATTTAGCATATACTTAGAACGTACTATCAAATGAAAGTAGATGCTTATTGAATACTGTAAACATACTTAGTACATTCTTAGTATCTGCATAGCACGAATTAAGAACGTCCTATAACATATACTTAGTATATTCTGAATACAAATAAAGTATATTCTTAGCATATACAAATTCTTATAAAGTATATTCTAAGAATATGCTAAGAATGTATAATTGTTATCTGGGTTAATTTAAAAAAATCATTTATAGCTACTTTTCTTATTAAAAAATTGGTATTATTGTACTATTGTCAACCAACCGTTGTTCTATGGTTATAGATGTAATGAAAATGATTATTATAAAAATTTGATTTAAATAGAAAATGTGCCAAATAAAACACCAACTAAAATAGCTTTAGGTCCTGGTAATATGTCACTGGTTTTGAAGTTTTGTATCTGAATTTAATTTGTAAGTTTCGGTTTTAGATATCTGCTTCATAAATGCAAGACAATTAAAATGTTTCAATAAAAACTAAATTAGAGTGGTCGTTTATCAAATAAGTAACATAAATGAAAATCAGAAATTCTCCAATACATGTGAACGTTTCTCTTCGGAAAACAACTATTCCTTTGGCTAATACCACAACAGGCATTGCATTATATCCAAAAACAGCAGCAATAGAAAATAATTTTCAACAATCTAACTGTGATTTAACTTACTAGGAGAACATCATTCTTGGACCGATTTCATTCTTATCAAGATTCATCAGCAAGAAATATAGTTTCTCGTTTCCACTTTTTAATAGAACCTGTAGATGTGTTAAATTCACTCGCCTACATGGATGAATAAGAAGTCACAAAGTAACGACATCTGTGCAGATGGCATTACTTTTTATTCTCGCTTAACCTCCATCTATGTAGGCGAATTAATTTAAAACATTTGCAGATTATATTAAAGAGTGGACTCGAGAGTATCTATTCCTTGCTGATAAGTCCTAATAAGAATAAAAACGATCCTTAGGAATCAAATTCAAGGTTAGAGTATTGAAAATGTCTGTTTTGGTATTATCCTAAGGAGTAGTTGTTTTCTGGAGGGTAACGGTCGCTCGATACTTTATCACACATGGCTTGGAGAATTTCTTCTTTAATTTATTTTAGGTCTGGTTACATTTTAGTTTGGAATTATTTTACTTTTTTAAATAAACGTAGTTATAGCTTTGGAAGCCCTGTATAATTGATATGATTTGCCCAAACCAAATAGGAAAGGACGTGCCTGGTTAGTACGGACACTTACCGAACGGCCTGATGGGGTGTTTGTCCCACAGGAACGTCCTCTTGACAGGAGAGAGGTATGAGTCGCGAAGGTAGGACGGCGACCTACCCCAGGGATTGTGGACGGATGCGGGTCTGAGGGGGGAGTCCCACCAGAAAGGATCACGTGTTATCGAGGACAGTGGGAGGCTGGGAGAGGGGTTAAGAAGGTCATCCAATAGGGTCTTACTTGGATACCGCCCTCCGCGGTTGTAAATTGGTTGTCCAGCATAGTTGAAGGCTATTTCGGATGGACGAGGGGAGTATGCACCAGGCTGAAAAACAAAAAATCATTACGAACATTGAACAATCACAAGATTTTATTAAATAAATTAGAGAACCAAAGATTCAGTTACAATAAGCAAAGATATCTTACCTTAATTGGAGTTGGTGAATATTTGCTTCCAATAGAAGGCCACAGAGAAGGGTACAGTTTGTCCAACTCAGCGGCACGATCCAAATGGTCTAACCAAGAGCGATGTGGATCGTATTTCTCAGCAGCCGGTGCGGGCCTTTTGCTGTAGACCAAGTACAATGGGTAACGTGAGAACGGGTAGGTGGTATGGAAGATACTGCTGGGCCATTGTGATGGCTCACGTCCTTTAAGGCGATCAATGTGATCTCTCCATGCTGCGTCAGCGTCAAGTGGTTTTGGCTTTGTGACGTGGTAGGCTGCATTCAAAATTAAAGTGAATTAACTGGGGTTTGAAAAAACATTCTAATTTTTAATACAAGCGGAGTGAAATGTACTTTTAACGAGAATGAAACCTGTAGAAACGACTCGATCTTCCGATTCCCACTAATTTGAATGGCGTAGAAACCAGTGGAAGGCAATTTTCTTTAATTCTGGAACATTGTATGAGGAATCAGGCAATATCGCGGCTTCTCTTTCCAGTACTCTGAACGTTGAGTGTTGTATGAAGAACTGTTTGGCCAATCTGCTGTAGGTCACCAATCACCAATAGATATTGCATTGAGTAGCTCAAATTAATCGGAATCAAAAGGAAAAAATCGGTTCTAGAGGTATCAACTGTTTAATTTTTAATTATTGCGAACAAAACATTTAATTTGTTTTTAAAATGATTTTATTTTGCTTCAAAATATATTTTCTTTTGCCACATATTTTTTGTATTCAAGTTTTTTTGTAGGCTTGAAACCCAATGTCAACTGTTACTGGCTTAATTTATTAATATTGACTTAATGTTTTATAAATTGTGAATAAATGTAAAAGCCACGTTTGGATTAGCTAAATAGTCACTTTACAGTTTTAAATTTTCCTTGCTACAAGTAAAATTGCTGCAATACTTAGTGAGGGCAAGAAAAATTTCAGTCTTATTACACTTCGCAATTCAATGCGAAAAGTTTACCAACTTGAGTCACTAAATATGTATATCAACTTAGTAAAGGAAAAATTTTTGCTAATATAACAAGAAATTTAGAAAAAATATACCACTTAAATACATAAATTGCTCATTTCAGCTATTTTTTCCCCAGAGTTGCATCTGCATTACAACTTGTGGCAATACATTTTAAGTCCGTCGCTAATTTCTAAATTTGCAGATAGAATTGCAGCAGCTGATCGCAAGGACTTAAGTGTGTAGACGTGCAATACGGATTGTGAACTGTAAAGTGGCTCTTAGGATAAAAATTGCGTAAATGAAAAGCGTGAATCGTGATTTAAGGCATACATCTAAAATTTGATTAAAATCAATCATTCATTTCGTTTTTACTGGTTCCCAAAACTCATGCATAGATAAGAAAACCGGATTGTTGTATTTTATTGTTACTTCTGCTTTTTCAACAAGCGATATTAAGTTGAAAATTCTTAATACAAAAATTTTCTTTGAAATTTAAAATTTGAAAACTTATTTATCAAAAACTTATTTAGATAAAATCTTATTTAGATAAAAACTTACTTATTTAGATAAACCAATCTAAATGAACCAAATCAACAATATAGTTATCAAAGAAAATTGGCAATTGCCTTTAAATTTTAATTACAAAGATCATTAAGTTTACATTATGATAAAAATCTGAAAAGTAACAAAGTTTGCTGCCAATAGGATATAATGAATATATTTGAATAAGGATAATTTCCTGGCCGTAGCAGAATTTTATATAAATAAAAATTTCCTTGGTTTAATCGATCATTATTTTTGTTTTCAATCGTTTAGCACAGCACTACATATGTTTCATAAATTTCCGAAACTTCCGAAAAATTTTGCATTTAGCAGATTTGTTAATTCTTGAAAGTTATTTATGCCAAAGTCATAAATCTACCTCGAGAGTCTAACCTTTTTTCTACGCCTTTTATTGTAGTCCAACTAGGGAACATGGTGGTTCTGTGATTTGTGTGAAATCTGACTCTGTTTTTCACGAACCTCAAATTTCTCAAAATTTTCAGAAGAAATGCATTGCGAATTTTGTGCCATTAAGTTTATTTACAATGATTTTAAAGTGTGGGTATATCGGCCCTCTAAGGTTAATTTTGAAATATTTTTAACAAAGATGTCCTTTATTCTTCAACACTGCATGTAGTAAGTTAGCTAAGAAAATATTTTTATGTGGTAGTTTAAACGTAAATTTTTTTGAATGATTCTGGTATGTATAAACAATTATTAGTCAATCTTTTAATCAGTTTTAATTTGAAACCTACTTCTTTGGCTCCAACAAGAATTTCTAAAGATAAAAATGGACATATTTCATCTTTTAAATTTGATTACATTCTAACAAATGCTAATTTAAATAACTGTAAATCAAATCTAAGCGATCATATGGCTTTTTCATTGGAGTAATATAAGCTGCGGTAATATACTGATGTTCAACAGAAATCTACTACCAAAAGATCTTCTAATGTTTTTAGAAATATTTCTGAACATGCTCATATCATATTCCAATTTCAACTATTTACGAGAAGTTAGCTAAACTTGATACAAAAAAGGGACCGGGTCCTGATGCGATTCCCCCCTCACTCCTGAAAAACTGCAGCTTTATATTGTCGCGTCCTCTGTTTTTTATTTTTAACAAATCATTGGATACGGGAGATTTTCCAGATTACTGGAAACTCTTATAAGTGACACCAATATACGAGTCAGGTAAAAAATGTGACATTAAAAACTACCGCCCCATATCTAAACTTAGCATCATAACGGACTACTTAACTTATGACTGCGCTAGTATTATAACTTCGCAACAATTTGGCTTTCGCGCATGCAAGTCAACAGAATTGAACTTGGTTGCCTAAGCTAACTTTATTTCGGAAGGCCTGGAGATGCGGTGTCAGGTAGATGCTGTATACATCGACTTTTCCAAGGCTTTCGCTAGAGTGAACCATGAATTATTAATTCACAAACTAAGTAAATTTGGTTTAGGTGGCATATTGTTGCAATGGATTAAAAGCTATCTTCTTAATAGAATTCAAAGAGTCAAAGTAAAACGTTACTATTCTCATCATTACTCTGTTACTTCTGGAGTTCCCCAAGGTTATCATCTGGGACCCCTTCTTTTTAATTTGTTTGTCAACGATGTAACTTCCTGTTTTCGGCAGACTAATTTTTTACTTTTTGCAAATGACCTAAAATGTTTCCAAATCGTCAAAAACTTTAGAAATGCTATCGATTTACAGTATATTAATCATTTATCCGATTGGTGCAAATACAATGGCATGGATTTAAATGTGGGAAAATGTCACATTATTCGGTTCCATCGTTCTCAACAGCCCACTATATTTGACTACACAATCAATGGCCAACTTTTAGATAGTGTTAAACAAATTAAAGATCTTGGAGTTATTTTCGACGCAACCCTTAGCTTTAACCACCACATCTCTTCAGTTACAAGTAAATCTATGAAAATGTTAGCATTTATTAAAAGAACGACAGGCGACTTCATTAATATAACTGCTATTAAAACTTTTTATTGTACTTTAGTTAGGAGTCACCTCGACTATTGCTCTTCAATATGGTCCCCACATCATGTAACGTATAAATTAAAAATCGATCGTGTTCAGAACAATTTCCTTAGGTACATAGCCTTTTAATTACAAACGTTTTATGATTATGTCCAGGAGAAAATATAGAGACCTGATTTTACTTTTCAATATTGTTAATGGAAGATATGATTGTCTTGATATTCTATCGAAAATTAATCTTTTTGTTCCTCCTCGTAATACAAGGCAATCACAATTATTTTATATCTCTTTTTATAGACTTAATAGTACTTTTAACAGTTGTATTCCTCGGATACTTAGGCTGGCAAATTCTCTGGATAATATTATAATATTTGATTCCTATGTAAATAGATTTAAGCACAACATTCAAAATACTCCAATGTAATTTTTATCAACTTATTGTTACCTAAATGGGCTTGCCCGTAAATATATAAATAAATAACTTAAACATTCTCAATGATGAATGTTCTGTTACTAATTTTAGTGAAATTTATATGAATCCTGATATTTTAGTTTTGAACTTTTTATTAATATAATCAAATTACTAGTTGACAAGTGTTGTCCTCTAAAACGTAATGATGTCAACATTAAAAGCAGATCCAATTGGATTACAGATGAGATTAAACAAGCCAGTCAACACCTAAAAAACTTACATTGGTTAATAAGTAACCTAAAAACTGAAAATTCCGATATTGTTTATTTGAATTACCACTGAATTAATGTTAAATATGTGTACTTTTTCATTTAATCATTTTAAAGTTAATTCAAGCTCATAAAAATAAGTTAGTACAAAGAAAATGTTAGAAAAAGCTTTATGTTAATAATTGCAAAAATAACATTATATTTAATAATAGCGTTAAATGTAGGTAAAATATTAAAAAAACGCAATCAATACCTATAGTTATTTATGTCCGTGTTTATATCCTTAAGGCTTTCAAATCCGAGGTTATAAACATTAAATAAAAACCTTGGTGTACACAAGATTTTATGTTTTTCTAGTAAAGCATTGAATCAATAAAAATTGAATCTTAAAAGCATAACATTTAAATAATTTTAAATAAAATACAAGAGTCACCGGATGGACTGTAAAAGAGGAAATACACTTTTTTATTTTCAACTTTTAGATAAAATAAAGGTTTCTGCTTGCTTCATAAATAATAATACAAATAGAAGTTAAATATCTCTTTGTTTTAGTGAAATAATGACATTTTTTTACATTTTTGTCATTATTTCACTAAAGCAAAAAGAGAATCAACTTCTGTTTAGATAATTATTAGTATTGTAATAAGCAAAAATGTTTTCAAAAAGGTGAAAATAAAAAAGTTTTCTCATTTTTTTCAATCCATCCGGGGACACCCTGTATATGATGCATAATATTGTTGCCATATCTGTTTTTGCGTATGTCATTTAAGCAATTAATACATAAAAATCAACTAGGAAAACATAAAAAAATTGTTAATAATTAATATGAAAATAGCAAAGCATGTGTCTCTTACCTCCAAGGCGACCAAACTCCTGTATCCCTCGGAAAATATTCTAAGTATAGAATCATCTTACATAAAAACTGTTGCTATGTTGTATAAAACAGAACAAAGGTACACAAAGGGAGGGAATAAAAATTGTGGTTCGCCCTGGCAAAGGCTGGAGCAGCTACAGGTTGGGTGTTGTTAAAAAGCTATGAATCTATGCGATAAATATTAAATAAACAACAATTGACACATAT